AACCATGGTTTGGGGAAAATGCTACCCAAACAGCCTCTCCAAAAACCAAAACCATGGTTTTGGAAAAAGCAAAATTTTTTTGCTTTTGGAGAAAAAAGGGAGAGTGTGTGGGCCTATATGATATGTATCTTGTTATTTTTTTTATAAATATATTTAATCTTATATTTTATAAATATATATAGACATTAATTATTTATTAATTATATTATCTTATGTATTATTAATTATGTTGGTAAAAAACATATTATTAACAATTTTATTTCTTCAAATTAAAATATATCATAAAATCTATTTTTTCTGTAATTATCATATTAACTTATGTCTTTTTTTTAGTAATTTGTATATATAAAAGTGCTTCTGATAACAACTATCCAAACACTCTCACTTCTCAGAATCACTTTTTTACAAAATCTATTCTTCACAGAATCTATTTTTTCCAGAATCTATTTTCCAGAATCACTTTTCCAAACCACGGTTTGGTTTCATCCAAACACACCCTAAGTAAAACTTGGTAAAGTGCCTTTGGAAATAAGATTTTACAGAACATATGACTTATATTTAAAAATAAAAAAATAATACCATATACAATTCTAAATATGAGATCTAGTTTGTAATGGAACACGATAAACTAAATATTATATTTAGGAGGAAGTATCTAATTACAAGCAAGTAGTAACATGGGACCGCCGATTCCTTTTAGAAAGCAGCTTGATGGAAAGAACATGTGATCATGTAATTTGCGAGAATGAAGAAAGAGCGATAGAAGACGTGACCCGATCAGGCGAAAAATGCAAGGCTCCCTCGCAATTCACACTGGTTGGTGAAGAAGTTAAACCGACTCTAATACCAAAGCCAGGTTCAAAGACAAGAAACTCCTTCCCCTAACAAACTCCATTTACAACTCCTGGGAGTTACATGAGTTAGGAGACTAACTCCTTTGCAACTCTCGTAACCTTCGTAACAAAGTTTTGTAACCCCATAACCCTCCCTTAGCTTTTAATGGCTTGTTTCGTGAGCCACCCTCGACCAAAGGGCCTTTTTGGTCCAGTACAAATATATATGTGTGTGTACTGTGTAGGGCCCACACGGTACTTCTTTCTCTCGGTCGGTTAAATTTACTCACAAATAATAATATTTAGTTTATTAAGGACCGGAGGAGTATTAATTAATTCATTAATTGTGTTTTAAATCAATAGAAGTTAGACTAATTTGTTTTTAATTAAAAAATGTAATAAAAAATCTCTTCACTATTTCTGTTACCATCTCATATTTTTTATTAATTTTTTTAAAAAAATTTTTATATTATACATTATAAATTACACTACGAAATGAATTTTATATTTAAGACAGGAAACGTATTTTAAAAGGATAGTACTTGAAATTAAGCAAAATTGTGAATTTCTCTTTGAGATTATGAGGTTGTTACCGTGTCTCTTTTAACTTGGGAGCCGCCGTGCTCCGCACCCTCGGGACTTGAAACAACACGTTTTTGTTTCACTCGGTTGGTTTTTTCTGGGTGAAAAACCGAAGGGACGGAAGAACACGTTTCAGGGGATGGGAGAGCATGGCTCTCGCTCCCATATAACAGCTTGACCGTTAATTAAGCGAATATATAACTCCGGCGCGGCCACCAACTTGCCGCAGCCACTTACACGTGACACCCCATGTTGTCAAATGCAACCAACCCCAGCACTTCCGTGTGTCAATTTGTAAATATGATACTAGTATTTATGAAAAAGCAATACACTAAACCATATATTATACCACCATAAATTAATCAATCCATTGATGTTAATTAATTATAATCATTAACCAATAATATATCTTTCTATAGTAGCATCTGCAAGTGAGCATGCATGTCATTATTCATTTTCCAAATTTCATTCATTACAAGCACAATAATAATATGCTATCTTCCGTCTTTCATATAAAATTTACTATGTAGTTCAATTTAACCCTATAAATTAAATCTTATGTTTAGAATTGAAAGTAGTATCTAAATGCATGTAGTCCAATCATAATAAGAAATATCTAGTTCTGCAGCTGGAATAATAAAAAACCACGTTTTCTCTAAAATTAACCGGCATCTGCACGCGCGCGTGCATATATAATCTCGTTAATTTAATTACATTCTCTTTAAATGCTTAAATGCATGCAACAAAAAAAGAATTTATCTTAAAATATTAGATAATACCTTTTTTTTAACCTTTAATAACCTTTTCCACTTAAATGATTTAATAATTTTGCATCACCCTTTATTAAATGCAGTTTCATATATACATATGATATCGATCAATATTTACGCCACTTCTTCAAACTATGACAACTTAATCAATCAATTGGTGTTGATTATAATCATTAATCAATAATATCAACATGTATATAATGGAAATTGGCAATAAGTTATAGCAGTATTAAGTGAGGGCGCTATATAATTAATTTCTCAAATTTCATACATTACAAATATAATAATAAGAGATATATAATCAAAGCATAAAAAACATTTAGTTTTGCAACAAAAACATAAAAACCACGTTTTTACTAAAACAACCGAATTATAACCTTATTTATTTGTATTGCATTATCTTTAAATGCTTGAAATATACAAATGCAATGCAAAAAAAAATGTTTATTCTTAAATACTACCTCCGGTCCTAATTATAAGACCCAGTTGACTTGTTTGGGAAGATTAAGGAAGTAAGTTAAGTTAGTTATTTGTAATAAATAAGTGTTGTCATTCCCAAAATATCCTTGCTAATTAAGTGTATTGGCTAGAACTATCATTATTAAAAGAATTATCTTGGAAAAAAATGCATAAATATGAGAGACAAAATGGATTGGGGTCTTATAATTAAGACCAAACAAAAAGTCAAACGGGGTCTTATATTAAGGACCGGAGGTAGTAATTGCGTAAAGAGCTGTTCTCTTATAAATAGTATTAGATAGTACTTCCTCCGTTCCTTATTATAAGAGACAAATAACCGAAGTACGTTGATCAAAAAAATAGTTAAAATTAGTTAAAAACAATTAATGTGTAAAAAGTATAATTTTTTTTCCAAAAATGCCCTCATTAATAAGGAGAGAGAGCATGAGAGAGAATAATTAAATTATTAAAAAAAAGAGAAGTGGGAGGGAGAGAGAGTGTGAGTTGGAGATAATAAATATGGGTAAAATAGGAAATCAACACAAAAAAGTAGAGACAACTTTTAAGTGTCTCTTATATATAGAAACATGCCATAAGTATCAAATGTCTCTTATAATAAGGAACGGAGGGAGTATGTTTCATATATTTTTACCTTTTATAATCTTTTCACATTTAAATGACTTAATTAGGACATATTCCATGCAACTTATTTGTCAGTAAATATAATTCAATTTATAATACTCTTTCAGTCTTTAATATAAGACCCAATTATTGAGTTAGTTTTGATCCTAAATATAAGATTTATTTCTCATATTTATCAGTTTTATCTAAATTACCCCTCTAGATACTCTCTCAACCATAATTAAGTAGAAGAGAAAGATGGGGTATTAAAAAAGATAATTATGGTATTTTAAAAAAAACGTGTCACATTTCTTATAATTAACTAACTTACTTAACTTTCTTAATCTAATCAAATTAGTTAAATGGGTCTTATATTAAGGGCCAGAGGAGTAATAAGTATTAGCTTGTCGATCTTGATGAGAGAGGTTCCCCCTATGCAAGGAAAAACTAGAAATTGATCTTACATTGTTTTGAATTTTAGAAATAAATTTAGGCCATTTAAACGTAAGTTTGAATGGTTTAGATTATTTATGCATACTAGTTAATTTGTCCAGCAGATATTTACGTAATTTTTTTAACTTTATTTTTATTAAAAAGTACAAATAGCATCTCACCTATATTTTCTTTTAAAAAATGTATTATTTTTGGTCCTATAAAATTTAAAAATTGTTGTTGAACAACAGTTCACCGTAAAATAACCATATCATTCCTCTTCTCATCAACATATTTGCTTATTAATGATGATGATACCGATGATACATTTTTGCCTTCATAATGTTTTCATGTTTCTAGTCCGATCCAATATTTAGTTTAATTTGCTTACACATATCACGTTGAAATTATATATTTACAAGAATTAAGATAAACAAAGATAATTATCGCTTAGCCGCATTAATTTAAATATTTATTTTAAAAGCATGAAGATTTTGATGTTTTTGGCCAACGTGAGGGTTAAACGCTCAATTGTATTCAATAATAATCAATATATACTATAGTTTTATACTATTACTTACGAATGAATTGAATTTTTTTCGGGCGTAAAATTCTTAGTGATACCACAACACGTTGATAATTAGTAGTTATTAAAAATAAGTCATTCAATTCATTCCTTTTTTTATATATTCAAAGTTTTAGGTGACTTGGTGCTATGGCTCGTTAGAGTTAGAATATGTCTCTACACTCAAAGAGTACTTACCAAAACGCTACTTTTGGTTTTTAATATAAAAGTTCATTTGATTTTTATTTTGGCCTTAAATATAAGACTTCAATTTACTCTGTCTTTCATATTTATCTATTTTTTTTTAAGGTAGTCTTTATAATAATGGTAGTTCTTACCGATATATTTGATTAGCAAGGATATTTTAGAAAAAATAATATTTATTTATTACAAATAACTAACTTAACTATTTTTTTTAATCCATTTAAATTAGTTAATTAACCTTTATATTAAGGATTGGAGGTAATATTTAGTGGTGGAATTCAAACTTATAACCTTATGGCTTATATTATTACGAAATGGATCAACTCTTATTAGCATTCATTTCCTTTATTGTTATTAAGAGAATTATGTTAATCATATTCCGCCTAGAAAATTTAACAGTCATATGGAATGATTAATTTATGTAAACTATGCGTATTCCAAAAGCTTTTACACCGTACATGGACTTGCAGCCATTCTGTTCTGTTCTATATAAGCACTACCTCACCCCCTTCGTCTTCCACAGCTAGCTAGACGAGTGACGACCTTCCATCTCTCTCTCACTCTTTTCAATACCTCTCCAGTTTCTTCCTCCATTACTACTCCCTACAAACATACCAGTTGTTCCTTTTATCTCACTCCCAGTAAAACCAATAACAACGAAAATGTCTTCCGAACTTTACTCCCTGTTCTTTCCACCTCCAGGTCTGCGTTGCGACCTCACCTTCAGCTTCTTTGTTGGTTTTCTTTTTCTGGCCGCCGTTTTCGGTTTCTGGCTTGTTCCAGGTGGTCTTGCTTGGGCTCTGTCCGGGCTTCGTCGCCAAGCTCACCACAAAACCGCCATTCCTGGACCATCAGGGTTGCCACTTGTTGGTATTGTTTTAGCTTTCACTGGGTCTCTGACTCACAGAGTCCTTGCCAAGCTTGCAAATACCTTCAAGACCAAGCCACTGATGGCATTCTCGGTCGGGTTCACTCGGTTCATTATCTCAAGCCATCCCGACACAGCCAAAGAGATTCTGAACAGTTCAGCTTTCGCAGATCGACCCGTCAAGGAGTCCGCATACGAGCTTCTTTTCCACAGAGCAATGGGTTTCGCACCGTTCGGAGATTACTGGAGGAATCTCAGGAGAATCTCAGCCACCCATATGTTCTCTCCGAAGAGGATCGCTTCCTTCGGGGATTTCCGAACCAGAATCGGGCTCCAGATGGTGGCTCAGATCAGAGACAAGATGAACAAAAACGGTGAGGTCAAGGTGAAAGAACTGCTGCATTTTGGGTCGCTGAACAACGTGATGATGAGCACGTTCGGGAGGATTTACGAATTCGGCGAGGCTCGTGGTGATGGTGGGCTTGAATTGGAGGAGTTGGTGAGAGAAGGGTATGATTTGCTCGGGGTTTTCAACTGGAGCGACCACTTTCCTTTGCTGGGTTTTCTGGATTTACAAGGCGTAAAGAGGAGATGCAGAAAGCTGGCGGCGAGAGTGAACGTTTTCGTCGGGAAAATCATAGAGGAACATCGGATGAAGAGGCTTGAAAATGAAACCAGCAAAGCCATGGACGAACAAGGGTCTGCAGGTGGTGACTTTGTGGACGTGCTGCTAGATTTGGAGAAAGACAACAGGCTAAATGACTCCGACATGATTGCTGTTTTATGGGTTAGTTTTCCTTCTCTAATTTCATTATTATCTTCAACAACTGTGCCAGTTTCGTTATTATTAAAAGATTGAATAAGTTCGTCTTTCTGAAACATTTCTGCAAAATATCTGAGTTTGCTAACCAACTGTGCTAAAAATCCTGGACTAGCAGCTAGCTAGAAATTTGGAATATTTTCATATTATTCAGCATTGTTTAAGCTTGTGATATGGCGTAACAGAAATCTCCCAGGTGTTTTAATTTTTCTGTTCATGGCGGAAGGCATGTTCTCACTTCTCACCCTGGGTTCGTCCGTTCTATTTGTCGGTCAATTTTGCAGATACGTTTGGCAAATTTGTTTTCGGGAAACCGTTATTTTTTTCCCCTCTCATTCTTACCCCCGGAAACCCGGTAGTTTTAATTTCGAATATGATTTCTATTCTCAGACGTGCGTCCCACGCGCATATCAGTCCCTCGCAAATCCTTCATCATCACCTGATCTCCTGAAAACCCCTTAGATGTTATAATTATGTAATGCGTGATTAACAAATAATAATAATAATACATGCAGGAAATGATATTTAGGGGAACAGACACAGTGGCGATTCTGGTGGAGTGGATTCTAGCCAGAATGGTGCTACACCCAGAAGTGCAGTACAAGGCTCAGTGCGAGATAGACTCCGTTGTGGGGCGTAACCGCAGTGTGACAGACCACGACCTTCCGAATATGCCTTACGTGCGAGCCATAGTGAAGGAAACCCTGAGGATGCACCCGCCTGGTCCCCTCCTCTCCTGGGCCAGGCTAGCCATTCACGACACCCACGTAGGCCCCCACTTCGTCCCCGCTGGCACCACCGCCATGGTCAACATGTGGGCCATCACCCATGACCCGGAGGTGTGGTCGGAGCCGTCGGAGTTCAGGCCCGAGCGCTTCCTGGCTGAGGATCAAGATGTGGCCATCATGGGCTCCGATCTCAGGCTGGCTCCTTTCGGTTCGGGACGGAGGGTGTGTCCTGGCAAAGCCATGGGTTTGGCCACCGTCGAGCTCTGGCTGGCTCTCCTCCTGCAGAATTTCGAGTGGATCCCATCGTCTGCTGGTGTGGATTTGGCTGAGTGCCTGAACCTCTCTCTCGAGATGAAGAACTCCCTCCTCTGCAAGGCTATTCCGCGGGGTGCGTAAAACTGGTTTCCATGGCGACATCTCCTTCTCTGCTCTGCGCCCATCTCCTGCAAATTCATCTTCAACCTCATTCTCCTCGGGAATACTTAAGCAGCTGTTTTAGGTTCATGTTGTTATTATCAGCTTAATCATGTCTGTTTTATTTTTCAGGGTTTGTTTCGAAAATGTTGTCTTGTCTAGTTACCCAAAAAAAAAAAAAGGAAAAAAGAAAAAGTTGTCGTCGTATGTAAGCTTTATTTCCATTACTTTCACAAGAAAAGCTTCTATAGGTTATGTTTATGCAAGCAACATCATTAATAGTTCCATCAATTTCTCAAGTCCTGCAATCTACATAATTCATATTTCATACCATATATATAAAACCACATGGTGCGGAGATATTCAAATCGGTAAGTATCCATATACGTATTGTTATTCTTATTCATATTTAAGTCATCAGCAATATATAATTTATCAGTGAGATCAATGTCTGGTTCATTAGACCTGAAAATAAATGTGCGTGTCCATAGTACTAATTAGCAGCTTTAATCACAATCAGGCAACGCATGCAACTGAAAATTAGAAAAGCCTAATGACGCGCACGCGCTTATTGTCATTTGAAAAAAATATCGACTTAGTTTCCAACTGTGTCCTCACTTAGAAAAATCAATTTATCAAATTTGATTCAAATTAAAATAATAATTTCTTTTGGTTAGGAGATAAGATTATTTTCCGTACATGCGAAATAAGCTAAGTGGATCTAAAAGAAAGGTGATTTTGTCATCTTGTGTGAACGGAGAATTTGTTTGGGCCCCTTTGTAAGTAGATAGACGGGAATGTTTGCATACTGCAGGCTGGTTTCAACTTTCAACTGATCTGTTCTCAACACTCAATAATCTTCAGCGGATTAAGCATGCTTCAAGAATTAAATCGTTTATTTTAAAATCAAAATACATCCATCTCTTTTAATGGAGGGCCAAGAATTTCATCATGGCTATAAAGCCGACGTTCATGGGTAACTGATCTGATGGAGCGTGCTTGCTCCCCAAGCAAAAAAAGAACAAGTGGTGAGCATATGCATGCGCATGATATATATACTTTGTGCATAAGCAATCCATTAATTCAGTCTCATCCGCGCACACACATATATTCATCTTCGTCACTGCATCATATATATATATATATATACTATCTCCCGTTCTAATTATAAAATCCCGTTTGTAGTCTATAAATAAAATATTATAAATATACATAAATACATACATACATGCAGAGATAGAGAGACGGGTTTCTGAGGACGGGACGGGGGGGGTAAAATTAAGTAAGGGGTATAAGCAGAGAAGATATAGATTCCTTGGGGGAGATTGATGAAGAAGCAGTACTGATGTTGAGAAGAATTTACAAGTGTGTGTTGTGTGGTGCTGATGATATGCCAGCGCACACAACTTTAAATGATTGTGGAATCAGAACCTCCTTCTCTATCTCTTGGCAATTATAAACGTACATATACATGTATATATATGCGCCGTCTCCTTTCACTTTTCCCCAAAATTTAATCCTCTCCATCGTCACATCACATCCTACAAATTCTCTCTTATTATATACTGCAGATAATCAACTCTGCCTGTAAAAGCTCCGTCCCTTTTCCCGGCCGCATAAACAAAACCACAAGAGATGCAAATACGGATTTGAATATCCAAAACAAATTAACACCGTCGCTTCTCTTTTCACTATTATTATTATATGGTGCGGATCCATCAAATGCAACTTGCTTTTCTTTGTGCAGCTAGCTTTCTTTAATTTAGCTTTTTCAATTTGACGGATTATTCTCTCATCTTCAATTCTTTTTCTCAGCGTCGCTCTCATCACTATATTCGTTTCCTGCGTCTCAATCAATTAACCATCCGTTCATCCATCATCACGCACTCACAAGTGAACTCCAACTGCCAGATTATATTCACGCTTCCACAGTACTGCACTATATATAACTTTGCTCCCAAATCTCTTTAATTAATACTACCTCCGGTCCGTAATATAAAAGTTAGCTTAACTTTTAATTTGATCCTAAATATAATATCCAATATATTTTGTCTTTAATACTTATCTATTTTGCCCCCAAGTAATTCCCATAATAGTTGAATATGTTAAGGAGTTAACATCAATAGGTAATTCAAACATACATTATTAATGAGGTTATTTTAGGAATGACAACATCTATTTACCACAAATAACTAACTTAACTATTTTCACAAAAAAAAAAAAACTAACTTAACTAACTTTTTTAATTTTTTCAAATTAATCAACTATGTCTCATATTAAGGACCGGAGGTAGTAATCAATCTCTCGTGATTCACATATTTTATGTGACACACATGAACTCCCTCTTTAAATCCGTCAATTATATGCATGTATGTATCTCTATACAAACAAGTCCTTCTCTTTCTTGTGCGAAACAGATATGGCTTTTCAGCCAAAGCAGTTTTGTCCACTTTCAGTTTACTTATTTTATAATTTCGTGTTCTCATTGCCACCCTTTATGGGGTTATAGGGTGTTTGAGTAAAAACTAAATTATGGTTTTAAAAATATTTTTACGAAAATAAATATACGAAAAAATTTATCTCGTTTTGCGTAATAATGTTTCTGAGAAGCACTTTTGGGTGCTTCCAAACACCTTTTTAGTCACATATAAGTTATGCTTTGAAGCTAAAAGTGACCAGTGCTGATACGAGTCAGAAGTATCCTTGTTCCTTCACAGCTCCCCTTACATGTTTAAGGAAGCAACTGTTCCCAATCCTTTTTATTGACCATTGATTCCCTTATCTCTGTCGATCCACTGAGTGATCAGCGTAACGTGGATTATAATTATTAGTCACTTGTACGTACGCACAAAATATCTTTCTCACACCACTCTATTCTTTCTTCTTTCTTTTTGGCCATCGATAATGTTATTCAATGACACAGTCAAACACAGATAGTTTGAAAAATAATCTGCCCTCAAAAATGTTATTCTTCAAGCAAAGAATTGAGTTTTCCTTCATAAAGAATTGAGTACTAAAAGAGGAGAAAATTGCTTCATTACATCCATGGATATATGCTCTGGATGATCAACTGCAAAAGATTTTACGGGACTTTTCATTAGTTGGCATCTCTGGCTAATATGCTAAAGGACTGGTTTCACACGCAACATGGCTTTATATAAATGCTGCAAAATCATACAAGATATCGGTTAATGTTCCATTATTATTGACCACGAACGATCCACTTCCTTAGTGTTTTACACATTTTTCAGTTTTCTAGTAATATAAGACCTGCTTCGTCATTATTATTAGATTTGATGGTAGTCCAAAGCGGGAGGCGAACTTAATAACATAAAACTTTTGCACCTTAAGCTAGGCCCTCGACAAAATGAGGAATGCGTCCGGATCATTTGGATGAATATAAACAAAAGAGGTGAAGATGAAGAAGACCAGTATTACGCAATCTTTGATCCGCCCACGTCTAGTCTCCGATGAATTGGATGATAATAGATTTTATGCAAATTATTTAACAAATCTTGCTATTCATTAATGTGTGCATACCGCATCAAAATACACATGCATATCTAACTAGAACAGTAAATCAAGAATAGACCTTCGATTTGAAATATCATATGTCCAGTAAACGAAATTTTAATCAAATATGTAAGGAAAAAAAATATAAATATCGTTTTGGCTTTCCAGTTCCAACACTGTCACAGACTCACAGTGTCACTGAATTGTTCGATCATATTTTAATGCTCTAGCTTCACTACGTTTTTAAATCCCAATATATTATAAGTGGAAAAAAAACAAAATCTAGATACCATTAAAATTTAATTTGAATGTTAGGAAACAAAAACAGCAGAGGAGGAGGAGAGAAAAACTTGCAGAAAACCCAAATCCAGAATCGATTATTTAAATATCCAATTGGGTATATATCCATTCAAACATACTATTTTGAAAATATTATCCCGCATTCACATCATACACTGGATTATTTATTTTAATTCAAAACAGTAAGTGATGTTCGAAAAAGTGTTAATTCAATTAAAAATATAGGCCCTCTTTTGTAGGTGGTGTTAGATCTTGATATAAACTGTAAATTTAATCAGAAGAAAAGAAACCCTAGTATTTAAAAGCTAATCCAACTCCAAACTAAGGAAAGATTTGCAGCAGAACTGCATACCTAAAACTAGAAACCACCCACACATCTCCTTTAAAGAAGATCGAAGAATCTAAATCATGATCAAATCTCTCAAATCCCATTTGCAAGCAAGTGTGATTCTGATCATTTGAAGAAGAAAGTTAAAAAAGAAGCAGATTAGATTAAGTAAGAAAACGAATTTTAAAATGGCGCCGCCTCCTCAACTATGAATAATATAGGGTTTTTGGGAGCCCTAGGGGAAGCATATGAACGAATCATCATGCTCCACCATTAAATGCACCATGATTAAGGGATTAATTATTTGGTACTATAAGATAATGAAAGATGATTAAAGAACCTAATTCTGAAGAGGCCTTTCCATTTGCATGCGCCTAAAAAAGCATAAATGTGTGGAATATTTAAATAATATGTCACCATCATACTCGCCTGTTGGATGCTTCTCCAACATGTACTTTTAACATGTTAAAGAAGCATTGGAGGGCAAAAGCATATATTATTTCCTCTTATATTATGCTCTAATCTCCTAAACTTATGGACCACACACATAATTATATATAGTAGTACTAGTGCTTTACTGGGTAATAATATAATCATATGCTGACATATATACGTACGACTCATAATTGATTATTAATTAATTGATCCGAGAATTGCATGGCCTGGTCTGGGACAGATGTGTGGATATCTATGCGAGCAAAAACCAATCACTGATCAAAGTTTTGTAGCTGATTAATTTAGTCTTTTGTTTTTTGGCGGCGTCAGGGTTTCGTGCTTACCAAATAATGAATGTGAAGGAGGAAGATGATGATCCCATGATGATGATCAACTCGTTTTTGTTTCTTTTTTGCCAAGATGATGAATTCGTATATATGAAGATTGGAAGCGCATAATTAAGATCAGAGCCTGGCTATATCTATGGCCTAATCAGCAATTAATGATTATGATCTTAAATGACAGAGGCATCGAATTAGTGCTGATTACAGCTAGTGTGTGTGGGTGTTCCAGATCTCCCCTTTTCCTCTTTCTGCTTTTCTTCTTAAAATTTCACATTTATCGTTGGATAATTAAAAAATAAAGAGTTCAAATTTAATATTTTACAAAAACTATTATCATAGCTAGTAAATTTAACATGCACAGAGTACATAAAAAGATTATAATTTAGAAAATATTACATTTAAATCATCTGTTTTTTAATATAAGGATGAAGATGAGATTTTGAAGGGGGAAAAAGAGAAGGCAGAAAAATGAGAGGATCTTCTTCCGAACGTTGTAGACATCAATAATTTGATGCTGAAATTCTCCTCAAGTATCAACATCAGCATGAATTATGGAATTGTAATACTCCCTGGTCCTATATATAAACTTCACTTTTCGAGAGAGATATGGTCTAAAATATAAGCTTCATTTTTTAGTTTATTTGAACATTTATTATTTTTTTCCTATTTTGTCTTTAGTTGACTGTATTTAGTGCTTCCTCTTTCTTATTAATATTACCTCGATCCATATATTCTCTTTCATAACTTTTTTATTTATTGCCTTTCTCGTTTACTCTCTTAATAAATAAGGACAGGTTTGGAAAAAAAATTATATCTCTAACATATTTATTATATTTAACTAATTTTAATTGCTAGTTCGTTAAACGGGATTCAGTTATTTGAAACTTATATAGAGGACCGGAGGGAGTATGAACTACTAGTCACGGGTAATGTAGAGTATTATATTTTCAAACTCCCAATAATATATGCACATGCCGCCTAATTGGTCTTAATTATATTAATGCTAGTCGTACAACCACCAAAGATTGCAAATGCTTCTTTGATTGGTCTTGATTAACACTTGCAATAAGTTGGTAGTCCACATCGATTAAGCGTGTAAGTAGGAAGCTTTTTGCAATTTGCAAGTTCAAAAAGTAAAGTTTCTCTTCAGTCTTCTGATGAGATGGGGGCGATAAGGCATGTGGCTGTTGAGGGGCATGTGGGATTTTGATTAGCTTGCATGCATCTCGAAATTTAGGGATGACCCATACATATATAATTAAGGTTCTTCATTCCAGCCATCACAGATCAAATTGAGTTGGGGTAAAGTAATAGCTACCCAAAGATAATGTATGTTTTGTTTAGTCACGTCGCGGGGGTCATGTTAACCAAGGTTTGGTCCCACTCTTTTCTTTTGAAAAACACAAAAGTTAGTAAAAGTTACATGGGAAAGTTTAAATTTTTACAGATGGTAAATTATTGTGCGATTCTCAATAAGATGTGTTATGAAAAGAGACTCTGGATGGAAACGAAATCACGATTTTAAAAGTATCTTTTAGTTTAGCCAAACTCTTCCTTAATAATAACCTTAGACATTGATTAAGGATGACGACATGCTATTTTCTAGTTCGAACTGGATTCTATTATTGTAAAAGGCATACTTCCTTTGCTTCAATAATTTTTCATAGGAACTTGAAAATTTGTAATATACATGAATATATGTGTGTGTCAATTATGTTAACAAATGATGTTGCTTCACTATTATTGCTCCTCTCGAGCAGTGGTGGGGGTAAGGGCGAGGGAATGAGCAGAGGCATAACCTCCGAATTTTCTATTCTATTTTATTTTTTAACGTAACATGTGTTATATACATCTGTCATTTGAAATGTATACTGAATCTTTATACTCCTCCGGTCTTTAATAAAGGACTCAATTACTGAGTTGGTTTTGGTCATAAATATAAGACCTATTTCTCATATTTATCATTTTTCTTTAAATTACGCTATGAGTACTCCCTCAACCATAATCAAGTAGAAGAAGAAGAATGTGTATTAAAAAAGATGATTATGGTATTTTAGGGAAAACGTGTCACATTTCTTATAATTAACTAACTTATCTAACTTTCTTAATCTAATCAAATTAATTACATGAGTCTTATATTAAGAACCGGAAAAGTATTTAATTTTCAATCTAACTACCCTCTACCCTTCAGACCAGCTTGCAAAAGCAAAAACATGACAAGCTCTTCTTTTATTCAAGGCTATAGAGAGAGAGACGGAACATTAAATAGCCAATAAACATATCCTTTCCAAAAATAAACTGAATTAATGCTTCTCAACTCAACTTTTCCAATCAAGAGAACCATTTAAAAATGCAATATTTATATCAAATTAATACCGGGGACCCCATTGAAATTAGCAAATATGCACCACATAACTCTAACATGGCTTGCGTTACCTGGGGCTTTGTACCATACTGGGCAGCTGGGCCTTATATGGGGCTCTGTTACATTCCTCTCAAACCGACAGCTTTTCATATCCAATAATTAATTACTAGTACCATCATTTCGTTAGGGGCAACTCCCTCGTTAATCCTGTCAAACTTAAAAATGATGGCCACAGCCAGCGAAGCTTGGAAATCCCAGAGGAAGAAACTGTCGTTCTTAAACATGACGCTGCTATATGTCCATGGGATTCCCCGCAAGTTGATGAATCTGAACATGACTATGAAAGAACAGGTGAAGATTTCTATCCATGTCAACGGAAATGGCCTGAACCTACATTATGTCTCCAAATCTTACTTCTTGCTTTTAGTGCCATTGTCATCACTCTAAGGTTTTAATCTTCAAATTGCTTTATTTTTCCGTTGGGACTCTTTTTGGTCCATTAATTTTTTTCCCTCTTATGGACATATTAGTCCAAACAATACGACGTGGCCCAATCCCGGCCCAAAGCCCAATCCCATATTCTTTTATGGAGGTCGAAAACAATTATGACAATAAAGTGAAGCAGTGTCAAACCCATGGAGGCCCAGTCCAACATACTGATTTCCTCTCCACTGTCACGTCTGTGTTGGTAGGTTTCTTCTTTCTCCTTACCCTCCTTGGCTCAGGATCCTCCTTCTTCCCTTACAATGCCGCCATTTCAGTCTGTTCAGCTTCGGAGGATCTTACTTCGATCCCTCTGTTCTCAATCTTCACCGTTCGCTCCATGTTATTTGCTTGAACTTCGTCCTCCATTTCCATCTCAACCCACTTCCAACCCCTTCCCCCTCGGCCACTCTCAATCTGCCACTGTGTTCACTGCACCTTCACTGTCTCTCTCCAGATCTTTTTCATCAGAGCCCTCCCAATCTTCAATTCAGGGCCTCCCGGAAGACGTAGATCCTATTGCCCAATCCCTCTCCAATGAGCTTCTCAAGGACCCAGACTCCGACCCTCTCTCTGTAACACAACGCCTTCAGCTCGGCTTCTCTCACATCACGCCGACTGCGGAACTTGTTCTTCAAACCCTCAATATCTCCCCTGAAGCTGGCCGTACAGTGTTAGGGTTTAGCCAATGGCTGGTTGTAAACCCTAACTTCACCCACAATGATGAGACGCTGTCTTATTTCGTTGGCTATTTCGGCCGTCGCAAAGACTTTAAGGCAACCCATGAGGTTCTCGTCGGTGGGCGTGCTATCGCCGGGCCTAAAACCCTAGAGGCTGCGATTGATCGGCTTGTGCGTGCGGGTCGTCCCACCCAGGCTGTTTCGTTCTTCGAGAGAATGGAGACGGATTACGGGTTGCAGCGTAATCACGATTCATTGAGGTTAATCGTGGAAAAGCTTTGTGAAAAAGGGTATGCGAGTTATGCGGAGAAAATGGTGAAGAATCTGGCCAACGAGTTCTTTCCTGATGAACGCATCTGTGATCTGCTAATCAAGGGTTGGTGTGTTGATGAGAAACTGGACGAAGCTCGAAGACTAGCTGGAGAAATGTATCGTGGAGGGTTTGAACTCGGGACATCTGCGTATAACGCCATTCTTGATTGTGTATGCAAGCTTTGTAGAAAAAAGGATCCATTTCGCATTGATTCTGAGGCTGAGAAGGTACTTGTGGATATGGATTATAACGGAGTTCCAAGAAATGTGGAAACTTTCAATGTATTGATATCTAATTTGTGTAAGATTAGGAGAACTGAAGATGCAATGAAATTGTTTTACAGAATAGGAGAATGGGGTTGCCATCCAGATGCGACCACGTTTCTTATTCTAACTAAGAGTTTGTACCAGGCTGCAAGATTAGAAGAGGGGGATGAAATGATTGACAGGATGAAATCTGCCGGGTTTGGTGAAGCTGTTGATAGGAAGGCTTACTATCAGTTCCTGAAGATTTTGTGTGGCATTGAGAGAATTGATCATGCATTGAGTGTTTTTGCGAAGATGAAAGCAGACGGATTTGAACCGGGTATCAAAACTTATGATTTGTTGATGGGGAGATTATGTGCCCATAATCGCATTGACAAAGCTAATGCACTCTTCAATGAAGCTCAAAGAAGGGGGGTGCCTGTGACACCAAAGGCATATAAGATAGAGGCCAGGTATACGAAGAAGCCGAAGGCTGTGAAGAGTGAGAAGAAAAAGCGAGAGACTCTGCCTGAGAAAATGGCGAGGAAGAGAAGACGTCTAAAACAGATTCGACTGAGTTTCGTGAAGAAACCGAAACGAATGATGGGTCGAGCATATTGATGTCGTTTGTTATGGTTTACTGACATTATTTTGTTGATTTAATCACAACCGTTATGGAATTTGAGGATGGGAGAGAATTACAATCATTGTTTACTTTGTGTCAAATTTAGTTATAATCCCAGCCCGCATCTTCTGAAATAAACCCGTGCTTGGTCTCAGTTTCTTGGAACTGGAATCATTGCTGGTTGGGAACATGGAAGAGGAAATGTTCCTATGATCTTCTCAAGGTGCCCGACACAGGGACATGCCTTGATCCAGGGTGTGCTCCTGCCTCTGTTATAGTCTTATAGATGCTCTTATCCAAGTTACCGGGTTGGTTGTAAAATGGAAGCCATTTTTTTCTGGTTCAGTAGTGTAAGACTAAGGCCTGTGGCTTACGGGGAAGATGTAGACCCGCCGTCGAGTCGTTGACCTCCCTGATGCGCCACGCACTCGTATTTTGTTTTGGTTATTTTTGGATTATCCTGTTATACAAGAGGACATACGACTTCGGAATCTGAGGAGGAAGAACAGGGCCAGAGATGGCCATGTGGCCCAATGAAAGGAAAATTATGGCCCCAAATTTTTCTTCGGCTTTGCACCAATTTCTGTTTCTTTTATTTATTCATGGTCCTTCCCTCTAAACTGCACTTTGGACTTCATTAATGCAAAGGATTCACCTTAGGTTGACTTAATTAATACTAAGGATGGAACTTGGGTGATTTATGTTCTAGGCAATGCCATCCTAATCGTTTGCATTTCTTAGGAAATTTTCTACAACGGAAGATAAATTCACTCAACGACAAGCAAAAAACATCATTTAAGTTGTAAGGAGTATGCAAGCAAAGTATACTTAAATTCTTTCTTTATTCTAAGGTCAAATTTAAAGAGCATACAGTATACATGATGAAATATTTATAAGAATATTAAATATTTTTAAACGAGTTAGGATTTTTAAAAACTTTAATTTTGAATCATGATTAACCATTTAGAATGTTAAATATTTTAAAACGAGTTAGGGTTTTCAAAAACTTAAATTTTGAATCATGATTAACCATTTCGGCTGAAAAGCTTGTGCTCGGCTATTACAACATAAAACACTAATTGAAAAATATTCAAATAAATATGGATGAAATTACTATAAAATAAAAATAAAATAGCTCACTTAATATAACATGCCATCCGATTAATGAAATCACATGTTAAACACCTGACATGATTATTTGCATTTGAGAGGCTGGAAATACACTAGAGTATAATTAAAACGTTCAACTTAATACAATAAGACTCAAAACAACTATAAGAGTTCTATTCTTGGCAATTTTCTTAACCCGATACGCAAGAAGCTTCTTCCTTTTTGATCTAATGTTACACTGATTTCATTAGATTTTCATGCTTTCTCGCGTGCTCAAGTTTTGAGGGATTGTTAAGAATAAAAAGGCCACTTTAAAGACGCTAGGCAGGGTGATCCTCTCCGATCTAAAGGAGACGTAACTGCTGGTGCTGGGGTGAGCATAATAAACAGGATAGCATGGTTTCTTACCATGGCAGACCGCCCTAGAGGTTGGATTTTCAGCGCATCATTCAGAATTTGGGAAAGTCAAACACAAATTAGCCTGTTTTGTCTTATCTCATTCTACACAAATTAGCCTGCTCTTTCGTGTTGATTCTGGTTTTGAGGTTTGCAATTCCCATCCTCGGTAGTCGCATATAAGTCTAATCTAAGAGTAGCAGCCTTTAGCAGATGAGACCAATAAGCATTATTAGACCAGTATTTGGGAGTCTACCCTACTTCAGAGGAACCGCGGACTAAAACTGGGAAGGAGATAGAAGGAAAAGGGAGATGAATTAACCGATTCAGCAAGCTGAGCGATGAGGAGAAATTCCTTCATTATACATGAAATGTTTCTTGTAGCTAGTTTTCGCCCAGTCTGTGTGTAAAACCTTAACCAAGCCGCATTATCATGCAATTTCCTTCCAATACCGAATTGACCTATCTGTTCCACAAGAAACAAAAGCAGGTTCCACCGGTGAGTGTTCAAGCCAGCGGGGTGCGCCAGCGTGATTAGAAGGCCACTTGGCCACTTGTTCTGTTGTCATCGCATCCCATATAACAATCTGCAAACCGCACCAGAAAATTCCTCCAACTAAATTCATACAAAGGCTGAAAGCAATCGCTGCAGTCAAAGACACAACCCAACATACCTCGTTGCTTAATTCATCTATTGAGAGAACAAATTCTTCTGTGTCATCAAAAATGGCCTGCAAATAAGCACGCAAAACAGTACTTTCAGACTCCGGATTAGGACTTGCTGAAGTTATCACAAAAGCTTCTAATATCCAATAACAGCAAGATACTAATTCATTCATTGTGATGAAAAGAAACTACATGGGCAATTCTTAAATTGAAGACCCGACCAAACCAAGGAAAAAAAAAAGGTTTAATACAAACTTTGGTCTTTTAAGTTTGCCATAATTTTTGTTTTGGTCCCTCAAATTTCAAACTATAAGTTTTGGTCCATCAAATTTCTTTTCATTTAAAATATTGGTTCCTATAATCCAATAAAAACTTAGACCATTTTGCCCTTTAAGGAACTAAAACCTATAATTTGAAACTTGAGAGACCAAAACCAAAATGAGTATAAACTTGAGGAACCAAAGACTATATTAACCCATAAGAAAAAAATAAATAGAAAAAGAAAACGTTAAAGAATCCAAGAGAATATATGACCCCCAGCGCAAGTGAAAGATTCGAGCATATGTGAGCTTGAGTCACAAGAGTAATAATATAAATTGAATGGGGCTGATTGCAAAAGAACGCAGATTCACATATCTCCACACCTGGCATCTTAATTGAGTATGTGTGGCTCCAAGATATTGTTTAACCAATCTTCCAGAGCTAACTTCCCAAAGCTTTATGGTAGAATCCTTCCCGCAAGAAAGCACAAACCTAGAAAATTCAGTTAGTTACGTTGCTATGCCAATCTTAACTCAGTTAGAGACAAAATACCTTTGATCTTTAGTAAAATTTGCACTGGTAGCTTCTGCTGTTCCATGTGCTCCAATTATTGAGCGCACACAATTGGCAGTGATGCCATCCCACAATCGAATGGCACCATCTTTAGATGCTGTAACATACATGCCTCCAGTACAAGAATATCTGATCTGCATGATCAAGACAAAGAAACGACTGACATCAGAATAGAATCAAACTTATGTGGCATAAAGAGAAAAAAATCGAGAGGTATATGAAAGCAAATATCTGGCAGTTCAGGGACAAGGAAGAGAGTATTATACATGCCTGGTTTATGGCTCCATTGATGCCAATATCTGGGACATTTGAGGGTAAAAAACACTTAAAGGTATTGATATCATACAAATGCGGAATTGGATGATCAGTTCCTGTCAGCAAAGGATATTTTGTCACCTTTGATCTCACTGGTGAGCGGTAATTGACTCAAGCTAGAAATTAAGGGGGAAAGGTTCATAAATATGAGGAAAACCAGAAACAAATTACAGACATACATATATGTATATGCTTGCATTTAAAATGATACTGTAGGGAAGCAGGTCATCATGTGGGTCTCCACATTTCACATTTCTATACTTTTATGTTGTTATTTACAGTGTACATCTTATTCCTGATTATACAGCAGTTGCTCTCGAAAATAAGAGACTGCTTCCAGAATGTATTTACCATATTAGCAATCTTTTTCAAATTGGGTTTCGTTTAATGGAAAATATTCAAACTGCACACAGGTATATTATCTGAGCCAAGAAACCAGAGTGAAGCTGAAGAACAGTATATACAATACGCAAGTTTAAAATTAATAAGTCAAAAACGTATACCAAAACCACATATAACAACTAACATGTATTTCATAAAGACCTAGAACAAAACTGCAGCCGCAGCCACGGAGATGAAATAGATTTTAGATAACAAACGGATACTATTAGCAATAAATGTGAAAAACGTCCTTACCTGCCAAAAGAAAATCCCCAGAGGGATGAAAAGAGACACAGCGCACATTATGTGTGTCCTGTGGAAAAAAAAGTCAACCCAAAAAAAAAAAAAGTTATGCATTATTCTTACATCATGCCCAGTTGCTGCTGACACTTAAAAAAAGAAACCACCTGGATAACCCTGTATGCTCTCTTTGCATTGGTTTTTGAGATATCAAAAAACCTAAATAAAACTAGCATGTCAGGTTAGAAGGTCATTTTAAAAATAGCAAGGACGGAGAAACAAGAAAAATATACACTTGAGGTGCATATGACAAGAAAAACGTTATAAATTAATCCTAGAAGAGGACATACTTTATTGTCTGGTCTTTAGCCCCAGAAATAAGGATGGAACATTGAGGATGAAAATCCAAATCATTTATTGGCTGCACGTGCATCAGAGATATTAAAAATACTAGGAGAGTTTCTCAGAATCATTTCATATATTTTAAATTAAGATTATGAAGATGAGAGAACAAAAAAGAAGCAATTTGGCAAAACTCATCACCACCAAGAGGAAGCTTGATATGTGAATATGACGTTTGGGAATTAGTAAATTCAATTACCAAAATATTTTGCTAAGGACTTCCAACTATCTAGTGAATTGCAATTTAAATTATCCAAGAAAAGAACATGTCCAAATTTGTCTCTGATTTCTGTTTTCTCTTGAAAAGCATGCGAGCTCTCCACCAAAGGTTTATATAATTTCATGAAGCAGTATTGAAAAAGTAATTTTATTTTGTTTCACTTAATCTGAATATGGACTATATAAAATATTCTTATGCTCTTTGGGTGTAAAATTATTGAATTTTCCTTGCCCCGCAGTTACAGATTGCACCACTGTCACAAATCCAAGCTAACACGAATCAATGCATATGTTGACTTCATTTAAAAATTTATTATTTTGAGATTGAAGAAACACTTCCACCTGAGATTTTAACAGCATTTGGAAACTTGCAGAAGCTTAAATTTCAGGCAGATATACCTGTGTATGGTCATAAAATGTTCGTATGACAGGTCGAACAGGTCCATCTTTGGCATCTGGCAGCAGCATTTGCTTAATCTTTGCAACCTGCAATAGAAAATGTATGCATAATAGTTATAGTCATGTCAAAGAAAGAGTAACACATACAAGTAAGGAATCGGCACCTCAAATAGCTTTATTGATGCATCTGCACTTCCAGTAGCAACAAACCTTCCATCAGGACTAAACCTAGCACATCTGGCAATATTCTAGAAATTCAGCAAATCAGTCCAAAACAGATAGCCAAAACGAGCAAGTGTTTTAATATATTATTGGCTTCATGCCTTGATATGCTGATGCTGAAGACACGTAACGTAGATTATTACTGATTTACAACATATTCCATACCTTATGTTCTGAAAGGTGTCGTGTCTCATGCTTAGGAAAGCTCTTCGATGAGCCTTTCATATCTTGCACACTGTTATGACAAAAATCTTTCATCAACAATCTGTTTTCATCTTCTTTCAAAGACTTCATCAATGAAAATGTACCTTACAGATTACACTAGCTGATACATTAAAATGTTGGAACTTCAAAGAATTGCATGATATGGAATGAGACTGAAACACCATTTAAAAAATCCTTAATCATTCTGACTCAATTTAATCTGTGGTCCGAATAATCAACCTTTCTTTTTCTACTGGGGCAAAAAAGACTAAGGAAAAGGATACCTAAAACTCACCGGACAAATTTCAAAATTATGCTTCACTTTTTCAACTGTATTCAGAATAAGCAGACCCAACAGTTGTTACCGAGGGCATTTCTTAAACTAGAATCAGACACTTGGATTGGACTGGACGGGTATGTTAAACTAGATGAAACAAAATCGATAAATAAAATTGCCTGAAATCAACAACACCAGCGCGCCCGAGAGGAACAGAAACTGCTGCACCCAGATCATAGAATGAATTTGATGTAGTCTCTCTTAAAGCCTCGAACTTTTCCGCTGCAAGACCCTGCTACTTCTTTAGGACCAATAGTTTCATTTCTCGCTAATATCAAAGAGTTAGAAAACAATGTGTGCGGGAGAAAGCAAGAACCTTAGCAACCAGCTCAAGAAGTTTATTAGGCGGGGCTTCCACATTTAGTGGTGTCATAGTTGCGGAAGCAACAGCACTTGCAGCCTACAGAAACAGCATACCGAACTTCAAATTTGCACAATTGATTACAGCCACTTGCTAACCTACGCCTAAAGGTATGGCTAAGCTTCAAAATAAGCAGCACCTTTGGTTTATTGATGTTTGGTTAACAAGGCTTGCAGCAATTAATTAAATTAAGTTTCAAAAACCCCTAGAGTTCATGAAGAGCGGCAATTATTGCTTGCCTGAGTCAGATTGTTGTCGCGAAGATGAGCAACAATTAGCGAATTGACCTGTCTGAAGAGTTTGCCCTCTTGCAGAGTTTGATCCAAGCTGGAGCTATCCATCTCCCTGCGGGAAAACCCTGGTTTCCTCTTCGTAAAACCCTACAATGGAGATCCGCTTGGACTAATTCTAGGGTCTTTTTTTGCGATTTCCCCTTTTCCCTTCCCGTTATCGACCGTCATGACCACGAGTTCTTTTTATTTTTTATTAAAATTTAAAAAGTTCTTCCGCAAAATCACTTTTTTTTAAAAAAAAAAAAAAACAAAGAGCAAAAGTTGATTTTTTCTTGGATGCGATTTTGATGACTAGAAGCAAATGAAGCTGAAATTTCCTTTTACGGGTTCCGGCGATGTTAGTAAGCAAATCATGGCAGCAGGAGCGCTCATCGACATCATATGGTTATTCCGTTCTTCAGGATTATTATCCCTCTTGTTACTTCTGCTCTCAACTCTGAAGATAGATGATGATCATTCGTTTTTGCAACGTTGAATTGCTCAGACAGGATAATTTGATACGCTCTCTGATTTTTTAAATGATGCTCTACTGACTACTTCCCTGATATTTTAAAAAAATTAGTTGGGAGCAGTTAAGTGTAAAGAAATTTTATAAATTTTTAAAATTATACTCAATTAAGTTAATTATTTAAACTAGAAGTGAGAGAGAGATAAGGGCATTTTTTTTAAAAAAAATAAATTACTGATGTTTCGTTAAGTTTTGTAAAAATTCAATAAATAAGATCAGGAGGTGTAATTTGATTTGAGGTCATTAAATTGCGATTGCCCATGTGTATAATTTTTTTTTCCTTTTAAAATTTTTCCGTGCTTTCTTTTACTTTGCACAGGTAATAATAGACAGCTAAGATATAAGAGGTGGATGGGATATTGTTACGCGTTAAATCAGACCGTTAAATGGAACTTTGAAAACATTGGATAGCAGATCTGTTGGAATGTGTGTGTGTGTGCATAAATGGGGTGTGAGGAAAGTGATGCAGCAGGAAGGGAATAGAAGTTTGATGACAGAAGCTGAAGAAAGTGATGAGGCTTGGTGGGTTGAAGATATGGGAGCATCCACCAACCAAGCAGTCGGCAAGAGGTGTAGGACGACCCCTTCCTCGTACGATTTTGTATTCTCTCACTTGGCATCTGTACAACGTTGTTAGTACGGGGGTTTTTTTTTTTGGTGGGGGGGGGGGCGGGGGGTTGGATCCTGGGCAGCACATAATCATCGTTTTTCAAACAAATTCACCTGACTTCACTCGGCATAAAAGTGTCTGAAGCCGCAGATTATACTATACTGGTACATGAATAATAGTATACGAACGCTCCATAAGCAAGTTTACTCCAAAGACTGCATTTTCAGTCACCAAACAGATGAGGCATCTTGGGTATCATGCAAATGCACAAAGCTTATTTTATTTCAATATTCACAAATAATAAATAGTGTGACTCGTTCTATGTGATGCAGGAGAAATTTTGTAGCCTTTTATCATTTCTTTGCAGGACCCGAGAACGTGTATATCCTGTAGCCTCGTATTTATTTAGAAAAAATAGTAAATAGAGACCCTAGAATACACAAAATTATCAAATAGAAATTATAAAATGTTAGTCAAAATACAAAAACACCCTTTTGCTTCTAAGAATAAGAGAAAAACAAATAGGTTTGTACTGACGAAAGAAAAGATAGATGCTGTACTTATTATTAACAATTTGGCCACAACTTTTCAAGGAGTCTTAATTTCAAATCATCTTGTAATATCAATCTCATGAACAAATATTCCTTGTTTGTCAACTCTGAAATCATCTATAAGAATCAGCTTATATATAAGAGCGAGAAAATCATAAATAGCTAAACAGATTCTATAGAACTCTAATAATTTCTATTAAAATTACCAATGTTTGTTACTGCATAGTATACTAAGCCTCTGAGAGAAACAAAAGAACATATATTTTAATTCAATTTTTTCGCTAACATGACTTCCATTTATTTTTGTTGGCATTAAAAGAATATGTATTCACGTTAATTTAGGATATTGTGACCAACAATTTTTAAGCTGAACTAACGGGTAAAATAACTTTTTTATTTTCAAGGAGATCAATACACCTATATTCACAAATAAAGAGAAATCAACATAATTTATGATAAGCGATCATTACAAACCTCACATAAGATAGGAAATCTTGTCCTGTGATTGAAAAAAATTCTAATTCTTCAAAGAAAAGTCATCAGTTAATACTATTGTGATAATCAAACAAAAATCTCACTTTGCAAGTTGTAATTTACAGCAATTTCAATTGCATCACGAGGCTTTTTTTCCCGCCTGCTTTCATTTTTTCGGAAATCCAGTAGGCTTTTTAAATCATCAAGATTTCGTTTTGCTCTGATGGGATTCTCTTCTTTCACAGGATCTATCTTTTCTTTCGCCAGAACAGACCTTTTCGTTTTTCTCTCATTCTTAGAAGCAGAAGAGCGTTTTTGTATTTTAACCAACATTTTATAATTTCTATTTGGGACCGGATCCCTGATAAGAATTATATGAATTCAAGAACCCAAATGATAATTTTATATATTCTAAGGTCTTTGTTTGTCATTTTTTCATTTATTTATTTGGTGCACTTTAGTCCTTGTGTGTGTGTGTTTTTTTTTTTAAAGAAAAAAAAAACATGATAAAGTAGCCGCGTCATTTTATTCAAATGCTTGCCATTATGAGTAACTGGGCGAGGTAACTTTTGGATGGGACAAGGCAAGAACAAGGTTGGAATGTTGTTGGGAGGGTGATGAGGCCCACCAATTAAGAATAGGGCAATTGGGCCATGTGAATCAATTATCACAGCTTGAATTGCTTTTAAGTATTGAAATACCCTTTATAATTTAATTTTAGATACTCTAAACACGAGCACGAGATTGTTTTTTTTTTTGGCCAAATCATTCCGCGAGAATGTTACTGACCGATACTGACGCAACCGACAAAATAGTTACCATCCTATAAGTATATCACACTTCTCCCCGTTCCTCCATAATGGGCTTACATATTACCTGCTAATTATAAAATTCCGTTTGTATAGTTAAGACAGAAAATAATATATATATATATTCCCATCAATTTACCCCAAAAATTATATATATACATATATATATTTCTATTATGAAACCCTTATTTCCTTTCTCAATACAATATAAGAGTTTGTTTGAAAATTAAACTTAAGTTTAAATATAAGATTTTAATTCATTTTTTTCTCATATTTGTTATTTTTTACTAGATTAACTTGTGCAATTTAAAAATTTATATATATAATCTAATGTTATACAAGACACTTTAGAAAAATCATATCATATTTATTATAATAAATTAATTTATTTAACTTTTTTAATTTATTCGAATTAGTTAAATCACATTATTAATAGCATCAAATTTCAAACGGGTTATACAAATAATTACCTTTTTTTAATCACAGTATAGTAATTAAATTGAAAAAACGGAATATCTGATGAGGTGGTTAGAGAAGGAGTGGAAAAAATAACCATGGTGGTTGCTATTACAGGTAAATCACAGTTCAGAGGCACAAAGAGTCCACCGACAGGGACAGAAAAGCGCGGCAAGTTTAATAATGGATGGAGAATCTTTCAGAGCCGTTTGGCTTGGCCCCGACCCGACCCGACCCACCATGTTGGCCGGCTCCCAATTCCCAAATCCGGATATTAACCCTAGCTCGTTGTGGAATGATTGCGATTTTTAATAAAAGAAAGAGTTGCCATATTTATGGCAATTCACATTAAAATAGTCGCCTACGCTAAACAGTTAGTCGGTGACCCGAACAAAAGTAAAATAAAAAAAATCAAACAGTGAAGCCTGTATTTCAGGCCTTCTCGTGACATCGTTTGCATACATATAGAGCGGTGGTAATGGCTTCACTTCAGCTTGGTCTTTTGACTCCTTGCTCTGCTCAACACACTCGACTTTTCCTCTCTGCTTTCTCATGTGAGCTCAAAGGCCACACAGCACATCTCCTTCGCCGCCTCTCTTTCCCGTGCAGATCTTGGGGCCTTCCATCTGCAAGCAGAAATTCAGTCCATGGCGACATCAATCATTGGATCTGTTGCCTCCGCTTTCTTACTCCTATTACTCTTCTCTTGCTTCATGTTCACCTCCACAGGTACTGCCACTCGTTCTGGCTCTTTCTTTCTTTTAATTATAATTGTAGGAATGGCTTTTAGCTTTGCTTCCGATCTCCATTTTCTCGACTTTGGAAATTTACTGGTAATCGTTGGCCGTTGCATTGTTTTCTCCAGTCCGATCTGATCTCATAACTGCAACTCCATCTTTGTTCTGTTGGTACTGTTTCTTCATTGCTCTACCTTGCCATTCAAAACTAATAAAGTTTTGTGGAGATTTGTACGTGTTCATGAATAGAATGCAGAACAGAGAGCTTGAATTTTGCCATCTCATAGAACAAAAATAAAAAATTTGTCATTGAACTCTAAGATCATATTTGATGGGATGTAATAGCAAATCTTTTTAGCATCTTTAAAATCAAGAGGTGAAAGTGGTTACTAATATTTTTTTCCCTTTCATGGTGTCGGGAACTTAAGTCTGCTTTTCATTGTCCTGACCGTTTATGCAGAAGCCTATGATGCCCTCGATCCAAGTGGAAACATAACAATCAAATGGGATGTCATAAGCTGGACTCCAGATGGCTATGTTGTAAGTGTCAGGGGATATCGACCTCAAAATTCTATGAATTATGTATTGATTGCATTTCTTCAGTATAAACGTCACCGCAAGAGTAATATAGAATCTGTTATGAACTATGTGAGAGAAAGGCTTTCGGGAGATCTCATTTATATGTTTGAGGAGGACAGTACTGGCTACCTTTACTAACAACGAAACAATTAATAATTTTAGTCCAAAAGCGAAAGTAATTCTTGCTATTTCAATGAAACTCTAATACGGAAATGAGCATGTTACTGTCTTTCCTATTTTTAACATATGTTGAAACCTTCTTGGTTACTTTGAGCAGGCTGTGGTTACAATGTACAACTTTCAACAGTATCGGCACATTCAGGCCCCCGGGTGGACATTGGGATGGACATGGGCTAAAAAGGAAGTGATTTGGAATATGATGGGAAGCCAAACCACCGAGCAAGGTGACTGCTCAAAGTTCAAGGCGAATCCCCCGCATTGCTGCAAGAGGGATCCAACTGTAGTGGATCTACTTCCTGGAACTCCGTACAATCAGCAGATTGCAAATTGCTGCAAAGGGGGAGTATTGAGCTCATGGGCTCAGGACCCAGCCACAGCAATAAGTTCATTTCAGGTCAGTGTTGGCCTTGCTGGAACAACCAACAAAACTGTCAAGTTGCCTAGAAATTTCACCCTCAGAGCGCCGGGTCCTGGATACACTTGTGGTCCTGCAAAGATTGTGAAACCAACCAAGTTTGTCACCAATGACAAAAGGAGAACTACTCAAGCATTGAGTAAGTTACTTGAAAGGACTCTGACTTGGGATTTTACTTTTGTCTTCTAACGCTTCCTTTGATAGAACCTACATCAATGTACATGCAATCATATTAGCCTAGGTTATAAAGCTACATAACTTGTCAGTTTCTTATGTGCTTGCTCTAAGATTTTCCAATAAATAACATAACACCAGGCTGATTTTTCCAATTCAATACCACATCCTTGACATTGTCAAAAAGAAAGAAGTAGAAGGAAAAAATCTCTACAATGTCATGTTTTGTTAAGTCGATAGTAAATACTCATAAAGAATTGCATCGGATTTTGTCCTTTGTTAGGTACATTGTCTTGTAAATGTTGTATCATGATTATTGTGTTTTTCAATTTGTTCAGAGGAGTTCCGATTATGAGAAATCAAGCTTGAAATCTGTTTAACCTTCTCTGCATCTTGTGTGGCAGTGACCTGGAATGTTACCTGCACATATTCTCAGTTCCTTGCTCAAAAGACCCCCAGTTGCTGTGTTTCCCTTTCATCCTTCTATAATGATACGATAGTGAACTGCCCAACCTGCACATGTGGCTGTCAAAACAAAACGGATCCCGGAAGCTGTGTGGAGTGAGTACTTATTTTATTTTCTACAGAATATGTGAAACTTAGCCACTTTTTTAGGTTCTCTTCTGATAAATCCTTTCTAATTTTGTCTGACAGTCCAAATTCCCCACATTTGGCCTCAGTTGCAGCGCCTTCAAGCAAAGCTAGCAATTCACCTCTTGTCCAGTGCACCAGCCATATGTGTCCAATTCGTGTGCATTGGCATGTGAAAGTCAATTATAAAGAGTACTGGAGAGTGAAGATCACAGTCACGAATTTCAATTACCGGATGAACTATACACAATGGAACCTTGTTGTGCAGCACCCCAATTTTGACAATCTGACGCAGCTTTTCAGCTTTAATTACAAGCCATTAATGCCTTATGAGGGTTTGAGTAAGTTTTATTCGCCTTACTCGTATTCCAGTAGTTTTGATCACGGACCAAATAGATTCAATTCGAGCTTGTTGATCCAGCCTGAAAAATATTCTTTAAAGCATACTCATAATGCCAGCTTAATTCATTTTTGAAAGCCGGTTTCTGCAGATGATACTGGCATGCTGTGGGGATTAGAGTTCTATAACGATTTGCTGTCATCAGCTGGGGAATTTGGGAATGTACAGTCGGAGCTCTTGTTTAGGAAGGATGCGTCAACCTTCACATTTGACAAGGGTTGGGCTTTTCCCAGGAGAATTTATTTCAATGGAGATAACTGCGTTATGCCTCCTCCTGATGCCTACCCATGGCTGCCAAACGCAACTACGAAACTAATTTTCTCCCTTCTAAGTACAGCTATATCTGCCCTTGTTTGTTTGGCAATTTTGTTGGCTAATTTATAGACAATCATTTCTCCGAATAGATGAAGATTAAAGTGGTCACATTACATATAATTTATACTCATTCGCAAATGGAGCAGATGAAAGTCACGACGGTGCAAAAATGCCTTGCACGAAGATTGTCGGTTTTAGGGCCACATCTTCCCGCTTATTTTTAAGCTGTTGCCTTGTCATTTTTTTTTTAAAATATTTTATTTGGAGCTGGTGTAAATTTTTGTTGTGCCATCTTAGACAGTTTGATTAGTATTTCCTTTAGCTAAACACGTCACTCTCTGTGGTATGAAATTCTTTGTTGAAAAATAATTAATAATTTTTCGAACTTAAATACAATTATAATTGGTAATTTAGTACACTGATTTATAAACTATACAAATTAAAATTACTGTGTATTCTTTGGCCAAAAAGATGTTGGTGTGTTTTATGTAGTCTATTGTATAGGATGACATGCGCTTTGCCGGCCCAAGGTTACTTCCTGTTTAGTTCTTAATTTGTGCTTTGGCCTCATTAATAAAAAGCACTTATAAAATAAAAAAATATTACCTCTGGTCCTTAATATAAGATTTTATTTGACTTTTATTTTGATCCTAAATATAAGATCCCACTTCACTTTATCTCTCATATTTATATTTTTTTTCCAAAGTAGCCCTTTTAACAATAATAGTTCTAATCAATACACTTGATTTGTAAGGATATTTTAGGAAAGACAACACATATTTAAGACAAATAACTAATTCAACTTACTTTTTTAATCTCCTCAAATTAGTCAATTGGCTCTTATAATTAAGACCAGAGGTAGTATATAATAATAGTACACATAATAAACGTCTTAACTTAGGCCTAAAGAAAGGAAGAAAATCAATGTCTTAACCTGTGCCCGGTCCTTCAAATGAGAGGATGGAATGAAGCATTACTTTTTATTTTTACTATCTAAAAGAAAAATATTATTCTATTTTCACTTTCATCAGAAAAGAAATTGGATCCTGTCCAATTTGTTGGCATTATCTGAGACAAACAAAGTAAACTTGACGTTCTATTGACTCAGATAATGCCAACAAATTATTTAAACTGTTTCCCAAAATTAAATTGTTGCAGATCATTTATGCCACGAGAAATAACTAAAATAAATAAAAGTGGATCATTTAAATTCAAAATTTTATAGGAAGCAGATGATATATACGTTTAGAGTCAATGAAATAAATAACTGTCGATATTTTATTCATTATTTCTTCCCAAAAAAAATAGAAGAGCCTGTTTATTCAATAATTGTTTTGTTTGCCCGGGGAAAAGATAATAGGAAACATATCCAACTAGCTGTTGGCCAGTAGACCCAACTATTCAGTGGCACTTAAATTAAATAAATATGTAGACACAACAAAGTATAAGTATATGAATAAATTAAATATTAAAAGAAGAAATTAAAATTTAATTAAGTAATTACATTATAAATATAAACTACTAATTGAAAAAATAAACCACCAGTCCTGCAACAATTAGATATCAGATATTATTCCCAATGAGGGGAACAAAAAAAAATTAAAGGATTCGGTATTTCTGGCCGAGAAAGGAGAAGCGGGTGGAGAGGATGATTCGATTTTATAGTTGAAAACTCTCCGAACCACTCCTCGACTGGCTTCGCCTCCGGTGATGGTCTTCCTCAGGAATCTCTATCACCAATCCTTCTAATTCCGTCACCTGCCACGTCTTTTTGGGACACCTAAGTGGCGGAGGAAGATTTACGCTCGACGAATTCTCTAACTCACCTTCTTCGGCAGCAGACGTTTCTGTATTTACATGCTGTGACGCGATTCTCGGCTTCGGTTTGACGACTTTTCGGCACAACGGACAAGTCGAGTGTTCTCGGAGCCACCCGTCGATGCAATCGCGGTGAAAGAAATGGTCGCAGTTCGGGAGCACTCGCCCTGTTTGGCCTTCTTCGAACTCGCTCAAGCAGACGGCACACTGCGGCAAAGGGTGACTGTGCTTGTCTGCGTCGGCGGTGGAGGAGGAGTAGGTGAAAGTGGGAAGGAACTGGAAAAGTGAAGGATGGAGGGGACTATTATGGGCTGGAGGAGGAGGGCGGGGAATGTCACCGGAAGGGGAAAGGCTGCCATCTCGGCGGCGGCGAAGGCGGAGGCGGATGTGATAAAAGCAACAATAAAGTTGCCAAATCACAGCGGCAAGTATGATGAGGAAGAATAACTGTTCGAAGACGGCGAAGAGGAGTCTCTGGAAGGGTTGGTCATCCATCAGTAAAATTTCTGCGAGCGTTTGTGAGAGGGAGCGAGTGGCCTTTTCATGAATGTGTGCGTATATATAGGTTGGGGGGATTTTAGATTTTTCAGGATAAATATATTATTTTAGTTTTTAAGTATTGGCATAGATTTTGCTTTAAAGATAAATTTAAATTTTAGATCTTTTTATCCAGACGACAAAGCCATCGTTATTCACTCTAACAGAACTAAGATAAAATATTTTTTTAAAGAAAGAAAAGTGGAAAAGTAATTAAAAAAACTTGGGCTGTCAGAATAAAGATATAGAATTTAATGATAATTGATAGATCATCTTTAAAATAAAATTATCCAAAATTCAAAAACGATTTGAATTTAATCAGAAGAATTAGTAGCTTTATTCTGCAGATGACTAAAAATATATATAAAAATATACCTATCAATTTTTATGTTGAATGGTTATTAAATGGAATGGAATTCCACAGGACATTTTGTTTTAAAATATCCGTTATACTATGTAGAATGAAATATTCATTAACTACACATTAAGCCTCATTTTTTGAAGCAACTGCTGAACAAAATTACCAAAACACTGCAGGGTGACTTCTAAATTTCCCCCCAACAAATCGTCTTTTTGGGTCCTATGATTTTGTAGCTTGCTTCTTTCTCATGATATTCTTCATCGAGAACGCACGTGACTGCATCTGTGGGTGATCATTTGGGGTAACCACGTGGCTCACCCAAGTCTTTTAAGAGGGTGTTTGGATGCCCTTAAAATCACTTTTCAGAAGCACTTTTCCGCAAATCAAGGCAATCTTCTTCACATATTTGTTTCGTATACCGTAAAAACACTTCTGAAACCATGGTTTTGATCTTATCCAAACACCCCCTAAATATCAAAATAGTAAGTCCCTTTTTTTTTTTGGGCTAACAATAGTAAGTCTTTTCCAGCCAATGTATTCTAGTGTAGAAGTATTGTTTTCAGACAGACAACCCAATATGAAGCTCAGGCCCAAATATGGCCAAAAAATTCAAGGCCCAAATGGAAAGGTCAAACAGGAGGTCCCACGCCCCTTTTGTTTTGCCAAAAACATTCCGCCGTTGCCGGGGATCGAACCCGGGTCGCCCGCGTGACAGGCGGGAATACTCACCACTATACTACAACGACTAGCTGAGACGCTAATTATTCCTTTTCAATTTAATTTGATTCAGAGATTTGGACCCCAAAAAAGAAAAAATTTGATTCAGAGATATTTACCAATGAGCCCATTTCTTTTATTAGGACTAACGTACTTGCACTAATCCTGAAAATCAATATCAAATATCATTGATTAGAGCAAAGGTTGATGTTTTATTGCGTTTCTTTATGATGCGTTTTTTTTTTTGAAATCGCAGTTTCTATAATGAATTACTTCTAATGAGCTAAATGTTTATAAAATTCTATTTTCATATGTTATTCTAATTCGTACAAAATTTTCTCTTATTTTTTTTATAAAGGTAATATTTTATAATTTTGTATAATATTTGGTTTTAAAAATAACTAAAGAAACACAATTATTTAAACTACATTTATCATTGCATAGCACATATTATCAAGCCATATTCTCATTTTAAGACTTGACATACTCATTACTTTCACAATTCTCATGTTAAAAATAGAACATAGATTCCACCCAAAAAAAAAAAAAGTCAACTTATTCTAATAATCATCAAAAATTTCATGACAATAGAGTAAACAGAGAGGAGAGAGAGAGAGGCATGGGTAGAATAATCAAATTTCAGAGAAAATTATCACAATTTATTCAATTAAAAATAAAATACAAATTCACCTTGGAGTTAAATTATCCACTTAGCTGCCTCTAGAATGTCTCAAAAAATCTTTACGACATTTCAATTCCTAATCAACAAAGGACCTAGATGAACTGCGGATGCCCTGACTAGGAACTAAAATACATCAGGCTTTTGTTTATGCCCTCACTAACCATTATCATTCTTAGAATCTTAAAGCTATTTGAAGTTCTCAATTATTTAGCAGCCGACATAAGAATTGCAGCATCTTAATCTCTTCCTTCGCCATTGCTTAAGTGCTTCCATTTACATTCTTTGTTCTTCAGAAGAACTGTCACAGGCTCCTGCCGCCTGCTGAAATTCCTTTTTTCTGCATCAACAGAAAAGGGTACTGAGAAACATCATTGAGCAAACATCACGTCGTACTTCTCTACACATTGATAGCTCTATCTCCTAATTGCTTTCATATGTTAAAAGTAAATTCAATCCCCAACATATAAAATATTTCTTTCATTTGAATTCAATTCAGAATAGTCATGCTGTTTCCTGTAGTTTAATATCAGCTCGAGCTTCCACAATGTTCCCACGAGGTCCATTGCTAATTTCGTGCCTTTACCTTGTGTCAATGACCTGGATCATATAGTCAGAGTTACTTCCATCTCAAAGTATCACATGATTCGCTCTACTAATCTACCATCTCCACAAAGAAAAATGGTTTATTGCTAAATTTTTATGATGTACCTCTTCCAAATCACCTAAGTAATCCGGAGGGAGCAAAAAGAATCATTTTCTTGCTTCACCTGCAAGGATTGCCGTTGGTGCTCAACTCGGTGAAGCTGTGATGACAATTGAAGCAAGTCAATAGTGGGGCCATCTTCACGGGCTTTCATATTCACAACCTCTGACCCTTGAAAAATACCATCTGCGATTTCTAAGTTGACAATGTCATTATTGTCTAATATCAACACAGGGCCAAGACGGCCTCCATCAGGCTGATTTATCTCTGATGGAAAACTACCTGATGCTGACATCCCACCTGCAGATGCCTGAGAGCTTATTCCCATGATCTTTTCAGAGGCATGACTCAGGCTGTAGTAGCCGTGGCTGCTTGGAGTAACAATGGGGCGACCCACGGGAATTGCTGATGCATGGCTTAATGAGTTCTGGGATTGAGATGACAGAAGAGAGAGAGCACAACCTGAGTCTGTAAGTCCCGATAATCCCTGAATGGTTGATGCTGTATCAAAAACATTAAAGTCTTCACTTCCTAAGACAGTATCTTGGTATGACGATGGCGGCCCAGAATAGGCACCTCCAAGAGCAGGTGGATACTCATTGTTGTTCTCACAGAATATGCTTCCTGTAGTGGATATAGCACCGGTTTCATTCAGAAGCGGATATTGCTTTTCAGCATATGGAGGAAGCAAAGATCTTGATTGAGAATGCCCATTTGTGATAGCAGAGATATGCCTAAAATCATTCCCACCTTGGACCTTTATAGGTTTCCACCAGCTACCAGTGCCAAACTTGTCAGAATGCAAAACAATACTAGGGAGTATATCTTGGCAGACAAAAGGTGCTCTTGTTAGCATGCTGCCCTGGAATCTGCTATCTGCAAGAACCACTGGATCTTTATATAACTTCGGAGCTAGACATTTCGCAAGTAGCAATGCAAATTTGGATATAAGAACTCGGTAGTTATAACAGAACAATATTTAAGAACCGTTTGGGAAAAAAAATAAAATAATAAAGCAGCTCAATAGTTGGTGACATGCCAAAATGAGTCGTAAGACTTTAACACAGGCAAATGGAGTATGAAGTTTAGATTCCAGACCTTGTAAATAACTCACTAACTTGAATTTCCCAATTACCACTTCATAACAATTTTAGGAGCGGACGTAAATGTTTTTTTTGAAAAGCAGAAAAAAGCTGTATCCCCGTGAATCTTACAAGGACTAGAAAACACACCAACCAATGGAAGCTCTCACATTCTTCATCTTGTTTTTCTTTTCCTCAGACAGAATTAGTTTGACAGAAAGCTAACATGTGCATATGTCAAATTGAGGTTCATAATGTGAACACAAACCAGGAGTCAAAGTTATAACATATAACATATTCAATCAGGTAAATGCTAGCGTTTTAGTAAATGAAGATAAATACATTCCCATGAATTAATCTGGTATTTAAAGATGACCAAGAATAGAGAATAAAGATCAAATTCCTTCTGAGTTCACCCCAAAAAATTTGTTGGGCAAATCACTTAAAGGTCAAATATATCATATGGCCAAAGAATGCAACATAAATATCGTTGACACAAGAAGTCTCATGTTTATTCCTCAAAGACAAGGGACAGACCAAAAGTTACCATAAGGGAGAATATTGATGAAGGAAAAACATTCTGAAACAAAGGGGACTAGAGGATATCATCGGATGTGTATGAAAATTACATCCAGAGAGTAATTCAGTATGTAAAAGGCAGCACAACTGTCTAATTAGGAAATAGCACTAGACATTAACATTTTTTTCACCAAGAAACTATAGTGAATAACCTGTGGCGCTCTGGTATGATGACATGGTGACATTAACATCATTACATCAGTGAAGCTTTAGAGGGGATTGTGTGGCAAATGAACTATAAAATTTTCCAGAATCACCATTCACAAGTTAATTCCAGTGGAAAATAAATATTTCAAATCTGGAAATGAACCGAGGAAAGGAACCAATTTCTAAAAGGCCTGCTTTCTTTTTACAACTACCACAACCAGGCATTCCATTACATGAGACATGGTTAATTATAGACTTAACAGAGATAATATATTATATTTTCAAGCCTAAGAAATATGAAGTTACTGCAAATTCCAAGGATGCTAAATGTGTGAATGTCCTAAAAGGACCTAATCAAAACTTGGGAGGACAGACGAGAAGAAACGGAGGAAAGATCTATTCTATTGTGATCTAATTTACGAAAATATGTATTAATACCACTATATGACTGAAGCAACCTCCTGCCCTTTCCAGGATGAGTACCCATTTGTGGCTTTCTCCGACGCTCATTATGGCCTGCAAGGCGTTTGCGACAGCTGCGCTTAACATCATCAAATTCAGCCAGCAAATGAAACCTGAATATTTAACTAACCATTTTAGCGGTGCTATAAATCATCATAATATGGATTTGTTTTCTAAAGCTTATCTCTGTCAGGACGTCTGGACTGCAAAACTTTATAAGCAAGACGAGGTGCTAAAAAACACTTTCTATTTTATGAGAAGTAGGTAGTATCCAGCAATGATTAGGTCAGGATTGTTCCTGTAGCCAGCTGGGGAGGCTAAATTCTTGTACGTTTGAAAACAAAAAATTTGCATTCAACAACTTTCACAGTAATGATATATAATGTTGTGAAGCAGTGAAGGATAACGAGTTGGACAAGAAAATTTGAAAGGCGGAACATGAAAACAAAAGCAGGCAAAGCTTTCAGATACTTATATGATGAACTGGTAAAAAAAAAAAGATACTTATATGATGAAAAGAACCTTCACGACGTACAATTTAAGAGGTTAAAGGTCATGTTTAGCTTTCCACTAGATAAGAAAGGAGACAAGTTTTTGGAATTATTAAAACCAATTTTATGTACAAATATATGCTTTAGCTCAGAAGTATCGGCAATCAAAAGGAGGTAAAAGGTGGAAGACTGAGAAATCGACCAACCTACTACATTGTTGGCAAAACCTTTGCTCTATGCCATTTACTATGACTTTAGCAGTCTTGGAGTGAACCTCACAAACTTTGTGCCTCTTGTGGTAGTCTTTAGAGGCGCTTAGATCCTTGTTGCAACCATATACTTGGCAGTAAGCAGTTTGTGACGGAACCCCTGAAGTTCTCACTCTCTTGGGGGTCGGAGATGACTCTGAAGAACACAAAAGAGGAATACCTTTGGAAAATGGCGATTCATTGGCATCTCTTTGATCACCAATTCGTCCTAGCTTCAAATCAATGAGGGAATCCCGGCTGTAAGATTCAACCGCAGAGTTTGAAAGCTTTGAAGCAGAGTCTTCACCTTCAGAAAATGAATTTGGCTCATTCATAATACAGCCAAGCGGATCATTAGACAACTGTTTCCCCAACATTTCTGGAAATCCCACTTCCTCACAAACTTGACCCTCTAAATGTTGTTGAGCCGAGGCCAAAATGTCGTTGGAAAAACTAGGTTGGGTTTTCAATTCCCAACCCAGGAAGGGATTTTTGCTTCTCGCAAGCGTATCAGGAGGTGGAAATGTATTACTGGGCACAAAACCCTTATCTCCGGAACCGTACCTCCTAGACTCCATTACATATGCTAGAATCAGAGCCCGAGAAAAAGCAAAGGACCCGCTTCAATTTATTCAAGAATAGTATGTCAACAGTACTGCCTCACCCAAGACTCAATTTGAATTTCGATTTGTATAGCTTCAACGGAGCAGTAAGCTCACAGACAGTTACCATGAAAGAGCATTAAGAAGCAAAGAAATTAGCCGTTCTGGGGCCGCAAGTTAGTGAGCTTGCTTAATTCCTGAAAACAAGAAAGATTGAACAAAGGAAAAACCCATCATGAAGAGCTCAAAATCCAGAGAAGAAGACAGCTAAAAAGTAGCCAAAGAAAAGAAGCCAGACGCCCACGTGAAGTGAATAAACAAGCACCTCTGAAACGGTAAGTGAATATGCTCAACGTAAATAGGAATAAATAAAGACTGGTACTTGTGGGGCTTAAGCAGTGAGCTGAACAGAAGCAGAAACTCAAATTCAGATACCGAGTAAGAAAAGCCAGAGAGTAGTCGAGTACAGGGAAACCAGAATTTGCCTAGAACATGAGGAAGAAATACTTCAAACAGTGTGCTCGCAATAATGAGATTGTGAATGACTGAATGGGTCGAAGCAGAGGAAAGAGAAGGTGAAAGAGAATATTTAGTGCAGCCCAGACTCCATGGAAGGAAGGGAGAGATTTGGGGTTACCATTTTTAGAGGCGGGCAAGGGAGACTGAGTGGACCTTTAACTTCTGGCCTTTTGCTCCGTCGTTTCAAGCCAACAGGGGAAAAAAAAAGTGAAATCATGCAAAATGAATGTTCTTCGTTGAAAGAGTGTTTGGATGGTAACGAAATTATACTTTTAAAAATAATTTTGTAATATATAAAATAAATATGTGAAGGAATTTATTTTGATTTATAAAAAAATGCTTTTAATAAGCACTTTTATAGCTCCCCAAACACCTCCTTAATATTTGACGATCAAATATTTATGTTCTCACAAGCGATCTCCTGTATTAATCTGCAAATTGATTGTTCCATTCTCTTTAGGTGTGGAGAGCGCATTTTTCATAATCTAGTTAAACTTGATTTTTGTTCTCTTTTTTTACTTGATAAAATATATTATTGTTTTTTGTTCTAATTATAATATCTTATTTGTAATCTATAAATAACATCTTATAATTAAAAACAGAAGTAATATAATATATTAAATTGATTTTTAAAAATCCTTTTGAGGCCAGTTCAACGGCTCCTTCAGAGGCAGTTTTTGGATGAGCCTGATCTCAAACTACAAGCATGTACTTATGGAGGCCGGAGGGAAGAGGGCCAAAATTGTCATTTTAATGTGACCGGTTAGAATTAAAAGGGAGCGAAAAGGAATATTCCTTAATGGTAGAAAGTAGGAAGAAGTGGGATGCGAAAATGAATAATTATTAAGTGGACGAAGGAGTTCGGCGACTTCAATGAGACCGTACCATTCCACCCGATATATCCATGTATGAGCTCCGTTTACTTAATTTGAAGATAACTAATTTAAATATATTAAAAAAATTAATTAAATTAGTTATTTATAACAAACAGGTATTATATTTATTAGAATAATTTTGTTAATCATATGTATTAGCTAAAATTATCATTTAATAAGACTTTTAACATATGCAAATATTATAAAAATTACTTTATAAAAATAAATAAATATAAAAGACAAAATAGATTATGATCATGTATACATATATAGGATTAAGTTGAATGTCAAACAGAGTTAAGTGTTTGTATTTTGGATGACACGAAGAGGGTGAGAATGTGCTATTTTCACCCTTGATTGTTGTGAAGGAGGAGAAAATTAAAATAGCAAAAGCTCGTGTTCATAATGATATTATAATGAAAGTCTTTTTTTTTAAAAAAAAAAAAGGTTTTTTAACCATAGAGTTTGGCTGGAGCAAAATGAATGGAATAACCGAATAAGCGCATTAGGGCGAGAGCAATTAGCCAATTAGTAAAAGATGGGAGATAAGGAAAAGGTGCCGGAATCTAAAAGACAGGACCCACGCACCTTTCTTTTCAATTATTGATCTTATTAACAATTACTCCCTCCGTTTCTTATTATAAGAGACGAATAATCAAATTACGTTAATAAAAAAAACAGTTAAAATTAGTTAAGAACAATTAATATGTAAAAAGTATAATTTTTTTTCTAAAAATACCCTCATTAATAAGGAGAGAGAACATGAGAGAGAGCAATGGTAATTTATTAAAAGAAAGAGAAGTGGGAAGGAGAGAGAGTGTGAGTTGGAGACAATAAATATGGGTAAAATAAGAAATCAACACAAAAAAATAGAAACAACTTTTAAGTGTCTCTTATATATAGGAACATGCCATAAGCACTAAATGTCTCTTACAATAAGGAACGGAGGGAGTAATTAATAGCTGGAGGTAGCGTAGGGCGGTGCAATTAGAATTAGAAATACTCTAACATATGTTAGAACCAAGGAGGCTGGTTCTAGGACTAGTCCTTATAATAATACAACTACTTAACAGTGTCATTTTCAATAGGAAAATATCTGTATATATGCGGGGGTAAAAAGACACAAATGTTAGGGTTTAGCTTTTGTGTCACCCATAAGAAAAACCTTGGCTCAGCCCCATATCTTTTACTTTAAAAAAATTGAAAATAGAAAGTCATAAAAAATATGATGAACATAATGTGAACAGATACTAGTACATACTTTTTCATTTCTTAATATAATACCTAATTATTAAATTGATTTTGGTTAAATATAATACATGTTTATCATATTTATCAATTATTTTTAAATTATTCTTATTAATAATCTCTCAACCATAATCAAATAAGAGAAGGAGGAAGGGTATTAAGAAATATGATTATAACGTTATCAAGAAATATTTTATATTTTTATAATTAATTAATTTATCTAATTTTTTTAATTTGATCAAATTAATTAAATATATTTTATATCAAAAAAATATTATTTATAAAACTAAAATGGGGACAGCGACTAGCGGTAGCGGCGGTAGAGCCGGTCCAGTGGGCTTGCCTACTCGGGGGGGAAATTGTTAGGAAAGGAGAGTGAGACAGGGCCCACACTTGACGTTTCCTTTGCTGACGCTGTGACATGACATATCTCTCTCAATTATTGTCATCCACTCCCCCCCCCCCCAAATTATTCAACTCCCACGTTAAAATCACTTCTTTTTTCTCCAATTATCATTCCCATTCATTTTTCTATTTCCTCCATTTATTTTCCTCATTTATTATGTGTAAGCGCACACTCCTATTTATTCTTTATTCACATCTTTATATATGTAATGAGATCAACATCATGATTTCCTGCCTTTAAGGCTAACAACCCCTTTCTCCCCAATCAAATTTGTTCATCACTAATTTCATTAGGATCTTCAATATGGACACGTGGTGATGAGAGGATTCCTAATTTCCTGCGTTGGCGGTCAATTTTGGCTGCCCCTATCATGGAACGCACGCATGGCATGTAATTTTTTTCTCAGGCATAATTATATTCCAGGCTACAGGCGGGCCGCGAAAGTAATTTAGAAAGTGGGGAGATATACACATAGGGGTTGTTTAGTGGAGAAGGAAGAGAAGGAAGAAAGAAAAGAGGCCACTCTCCTTGTCCGAAGGCACTGAGGGAGGAAAGTTGTCTCCCCCTCTGACCACTCATCTCTGTATGGTCACCATTATATTCTATTTTGTTTTCATATAATTGCCTCCTCCTTTCCCTCTTTGTGTCCCCACCGTCACTTCTCTTCTGCATTTCCCCCTTTCTTCTTCGGAAATTAGATGATTAACTTAACTTATGAATATTAAAGAAATTAGTTTCTATAGTTATTTGTAACTGGAGCTTGGTTTTCTCAAAATACTTCCTTTAAGCATTACTGTACCTCATTGATGGAAACTCCGTTTCATAGACTCTTCTGTGTCTTAATTAAAGACGACATTTCTAGCAAGTTTTATACATGTTAGGAAAAATCTTAAATTATATTAACGCCCCTTAAAATATTATAATTTTTAAATTTTATTTTTACTTAATATATATACATTTCAGAAAAATAATTATCTGTGTTATAATAAATGAATGATAAAATAGTATATTCGTACTAAACATCTAATAAGGTAACTTATACATAGCACCCCAAAAAATATTCTCCTTGCCCTATAAATAGAATCAGAGAAATATGCAACCAATAAAGACATTTGGGGAAAAAAATATAAAATTGAGAGACAAAATAAATTAATATTTTATATTTAAAAACAAAATAAACACCCTAACAAGATTTTATATTTAACAAGTATTAAAAAAAAATTCTAAAAGTCATAGTCAGCGTGAGTTAAAGTTAACTAGAATTTGGAGGATTAATTTCATACCAAAAAATCAATAACAAATTTGACCCGTTTTGATGACCCCTTATTTTCTTGTTGGAGAGATTTATTTAAGTTATGGATGGATTTTAAATCAAGCTCATAACACAATAACGGGGATTTACCAACAGTGGTTTTAAGGAGCTACTGCCTACTAGTACATTTCTAAGTGTGATCTGCTTAACGCGGTTTTTTTTGTTTTTTTGGCGATGTGAAAGTTATGTGTTGAGGGAGGCCACTTTCAGCCGCTGCTACTCCTTGAGCCTGAAGCTAAGAAGCAGCATTTTTTGACCAAATTAAAAAGAGGGGAAAATACAAACTAAGATTATGGCATTCTTCCTTATTAAGCTCCCACAGGAGCAAAGGAAAATTTGCATAATTACATATGCTTCTTTCTTTCTCTCTCTCTACCTGGACTTCTTTTTCTACATACCTTATCAATTACTTTGACTTGCCTCTCCATTATTAACATTGCTCACCTAGTCTCTTTCCCCCTGTGCGCACGAAGGAACCTGTGAAGTCTCCGGAATATAAAGTCCCAAAACATGAGAATGACGTGGTTAGATAAACGGGAGAATTGTTATGAGATTTCAAGGCACGAGGATAATTACTAAAAAAAAAAAAAGTCATGACAATTGTGCAACTCGTGATAACAAGTAGGGGTGTTAAACACCGGCTCATCCCGGTCGGCCCCCTCTGGTACTGGTTTTATTGGGACGGGACGGGACAAAAAAAAAGACCGAGACGGGCCTTTTATTTTTTTAAATTTTTTATCATATTTATATAATATTATTTTTTCTTTTTTAAAAAAA